AATTTATATCTATGTGGATAAATTATTTTGCATGCATATTTGATTCGTTTATTGGCAATTTGGTGCACTGTCCTGCCTCCGTACCCCCTCATCGCACCCAAGTGGGCTATAATTTGTATTGAATGCGCCTGTCAGGCGCACTCTGGCCGAGAGCTGGGCATCCATCAGCATTTGGCGCCATGTCTATTGCATTCCGTGGGACGCATTTCCAGAACCTAATGCCAAGCAATTTGTTCAACAGCGTATAAATCTTGTGCGCATTGTTTGGCTGCCAGTCAAGAAACACACACACACACTTTGTGTGGGTATAAAGGATATGATGCCTATTGTACTGCCTAAATGAGGCGGCCCTTAAGATATGCGAATGAACTGGTGCGTTTTGCTCGCTTGGCACACACTCCTATCCAAAGGGGTGTTAGTTAGTGTAGATTCTGCGCTTAGATAACTTACATCAGCAATCAATAAAATATAGGAATCTCGCATGGCTATATGTAAGTAGACTCAGCGGGTTTTCAGTATTGGCATTTAGCCAAAATGCGTTTTTGTTAGCGCACATTGGTACGACATCAGCCAAGACATATATGAACTTTCAAAATGAATAACGCCCGCGGGCAACACATTTATATATAAAAGCAAAATAATCATTTTAATCCTGCAGTAGAGAGAGGATAAAAAGTATATTATTATTATATTATATCTGACTTTTATTTAACAAAGTTAATCCAATTAAAATTTTATTAAATTCGTAAAAGTTGACAGCATGCAAATACTGCACTTCTGAAATGGGACAATTTTTGTGAAAATATATGTTAAGCTTTTGTACAAATTTAGAATAAAATTATTTTATTTGTCGACTGATACAGAGTTTATTATAGGATTCAAATGTGTGTATTTGTAAATGGGGCTTAATTTATCCGAATTTCGATAATTTAAAGATACGAATTTGTTAATTTCAAACTCTTTCAATGTTTTAAATTTTTGTCAAGGTCTCTTATTCAAAGATCTGACTTTATTTGGGCGAGTTATAGTTCTTTGATATTATTTTAATTTCCAAATCTATTAAACAAAGCACTCGATTTGTTTCCAGTGTGCTTCGATTCGGCTGAAAATTTATGAATGGCTTTTATTTGTTGCCCCTGAAAGTATGCAGCACAATTTAACGATTGTCGAATTTTTGTCGAACTATTTGCGATGTCTGTTTTTACCACTGTGAGTGTGAGCTATAATTTTTTCGCCTTTTTATTTTGTCTTCACTTACGTGCAAATTCCTTGCGCCAAGTACATCAACTGGGATTTTCAACAGAAGTCTCGCACATTCGATGCTCAGAATGTTTGTCCTTGAAAGCATGCAGTTCCTTTTTGCTTGTTGTTTCTTTTTGTGGTCCACTTGTTAAATGTGTTTATTCTAGAACTTAAGCTGAGATTTCTATCATAGTTGTGCAAAATAAGTGACTCAATTGTCACAAATTTTTCTTGTAGTTTTTCTCTTTTGATGTAAAGATAAAAGTTAATATAAATAAAATATGAAGATTCACATATATATATATAATTGTTGTTATATATTTTTTAGCAAATTAATTTATTAATAATAAAGCAGATACTTTTGTAAATATTGGTTATTATCCAAACCTGTTAACTATACAGTGGATACTTTCATAAATATCAAGAAATTGATTTTACATAATTTTTTATTTAGTTTCTAATATTCTGAAAATATTTTTTATTTATTTCTTTGATAATTCAAATTAAATAATTTGAAATTATTCCTCAACTTTTCATTAACACAGCAAATATTTTCGTAATCATTCGCATATTTCGCTATTTTGAACCACTGTGCAGTTTCTTCTTTTCTGCTGTCATGCTTGTATTTGTGTGGCTCATTGTTTGTCTAGGCGAATGCATTGTTGTTGCTGCCCTGTAGGAGACTACACTCACACACACATCAAGAGACACACACAAACAGACATACAGAAAGCTACACACAAACAGACAAGCACTCGAGCACACACTCACACACACATGTGGGTTTACGCAGATGTTCGAATGTGAGGCTTTTCGCTATTGTTTGCAGAATTTATTGCACGAATTTCTGAATTGGCTCTTTGGACTAGTATGTGGTTTTATTTTTATATGCACATACATATTTATATATATATATATAGATATCCTCTGGGCACTCAGTCGCGGCCTTGGTTGGGGCTTATGCTAAAACAATAGCTCGACCGACCACAAGTATTTATTGGGCCGTGCTGCCGCATTACGCTTAGCACTGGCTGACAGAAAGGTGTTGTCCTTTATGCTCAGGTCGTCTTAATTAGCATCAAATTTTTGTGCAATAATACACCCGAAAAAGACCGACTACTGGCGCCCTCTCTAGCAGTCCGTTTTACATACATTGCGTATACGTCATGTGGCTGTATGACAAAAACCGTATCCTTGGGTTAGCATTCGGTGTTATTATTGTTGTAATTTCCTTTGGCAGTGCACACATTGTGTCTCCGGATGCCTTTCATGTGTCAAGCGATTGTCTCATCAGCGTGCAGCCATTGCCGGTCGCATATTATTAATAATGCGTATACGCCGCGTTAGACATTTATTTATTATGCTCGCTTTTAATGTCGACATCACATAAATTTATGGAAAGCCCGAAAACAATTTGTACACAAACATGCGTGAATGTGGCCACATGGAACATGCAACACGTTTCCGGCTCATCATTTTCGGTTGCGTGAGTCGCGTTTTATGAGTTTCCCTTTCCCCACATAGACAAAAAATCATGATGCTGCCGTACAGCATATCTGCAAAATTCTGTAAATGCGTTACATTCGGCTTGGGCCTAAATCATTTGCGGATTTACACTGTTTAGCTAGGAATTTCGGGACAGTTACGGGTCCCTCGGGTGCTGACATTGGCAGGCTCACATTTACACCAAAATAGCTGCAAATAGCCAAAAGCCCTTTGGCAAATCTCATGGCTGCAAACACCAGCTTAGATGTGAATGTTGGGCAAACAAATGTGTGCTTAGATTCAAGTATTTAAGAAAACACAGAAGAGTACTCCAGTACTCATACAATTATTAAAGCATAAATATGTTATCCAAATGTGACTTAATTCTAAAGTTTTTTTACAATTCTTGTGGGAACGGTGATCATACCGACATGTTCTGGAAATATGTATACTGACGTGTAGCTCGTATAGGCTCAAGCAAAGAGGAAGTCAACAACGATTTTTATCGATTTCTTAAGAAAAGCGAAAGCTATCGATGATTTGATTGATGGGCAGACTGATAGACATATCCGAATAAATACTTTTTATAAAATAAATGCTTTCCTCCGTGTGTTAAATATATATTTACACATTTACAATGTGGCATTCAGGGCATTCAAATATGTGCAAAAGAAATCGATAAAAATAGATAAGCAGGTTTGATTGGGTAAATGCACTTTTTGTGTATGTGAACTCTATGGAATGGAGCTCTAGCGAATGGATTTATAATACACACGGATAAAGGCAGCACGTAAAAGAGGGGGGGAGGGGGCGCAATGTTTAAACACGTATTCATGAAGCATTTGGCAACATGTTTAAAGAGCTGTTTGCATAGGCCCCTTTAGGCCTGACAGATGCCAGTGAAATGTCGCCAGCATTTCGCTTCACATGTGGCAGCTCACACACAACTACATAAACAAGAACAGCTACAAATATGTGTTACATATACATATACATACAGTCATACATTTTAATACACACTCTGCCGTGGCAGCTGCATGTAGCATGCAGAATTGTTGCAACATTCATAGCGTATAATCGCAGGCGACAGGACATTCGAGCCGCATGCGTGTGTTGCATGTTCAGATTCATGATTTATTTATGGGGCACTATGGAAATAACACGGCGCCATAAATCGCCCAGCTCGTGTGCACACAAATATCCCAGTAATTAAATCGAATAATTGAAGCGAAATTTAATTAAATACACTTAATGCTTACAACAATCAAAAAGCCAGAAACATGGCAAAAAACAATTATAAATAGAGACAATAAAACTGGACACGAGCATATGTAATGACAGACAAGCGTGTGAGTGTGTCCCTGTATGTGTGTGTGTGTGTGTGTGTTAGTCTGACCTTAATCCAATTAGCTGTCCACTGCTGTGTGGCAGCTCTCAAATGATTCCCCAATTTGCTGCCAGTCAATTTAATTTTGTGTCCATGGGGCGTTCCGAACTCGTGTCATGACAAGAGAAATGGCAACTCGCCAGTTTGGCAGTTGGGCAGGTGGCGGAACGGATCTGGTTTCAATTTCATTGAGCTGCCCATTTGCTCGGCACTTTCGGAAATTGTTTCAACGTCGGTTTGTAATTTCACACGCAGTTAAGTGATTAGCCCAGCTTTTTTTTATTTGGCCGCAGCCATGTTGACTCAACCGCAAATCATAACAACTAAAAACTAGTCGAGAGTGCCTGGCTAGGCAATATTCTGAAACCCGGGTAGAGATGGGCTTGCAAATATGCTAGTTACGCACACAAATACACATGCACAAGCACACATGCACAAACACACATGCACAAGCACACTCGCATACTTTTTGCTGCTGCAATAGTTTTTCATCCCTTAGACACAGACTATGCAGACAACGCTTTTCCAATTAACTTCAGTTTTTTATACTTATGTCTGTTTATTTTCTGAAATTTGTACAGCTTAAATATGACATCCAAATGCCAAAGAAATGCCTCAATAAATGAAGTATTCTAAAATGTCCAAGCCTTAAATACTTATACATCCCTATGCCCAAGACAATGCATCTCCAGCTATTATAAGCTTTGAGATATGCTAAAATAAACAGGAATGGAAATTGATTCTTATCGTTTTCGTAAAGCGAGTTATACGTAATTGGAAAATAGGCTTTATCTAGCTCACATAGTCTCTGAGCATCTATTTATTATCTTATTTTATCGAAGGAGTAAAAATAAAACGTTTATTTCTTTGTCTTACGCTTTTGCAGCTGGGGCCATTCCATGTAAAGCAGCCTACGGAGCAGCAAAAAGGCGCTCAAATTCAACGATTCGTGGCCAGCATGGATGAGGAGCACGAGGACGATCGAATAATATGAGATTCGATGGGGCTTTAGAGCCCCGTCACGGTGCTGCAACGCTGCAGAGCCGATTTATTGGTGTTGCCAAATTTCGGCGCGAGACGCGCCTAAAATGTGAGCAACAGCAGCAACAATGCGCTGACGAAGACGACGAAGCAGCAGCAGCAACAGCTAACCACTTCAGCAACAGCAACAACAACAGCAGCAACTGTTTGCGCAACAAGAACAACAGCAAAAATTGCCGTGGGGCAGCTTTGGAGCAACAAGCTCAACACTTGTCGCCCAGCCAGGCGCCAGGCACAACAACAACAGCAACAACAACAACAACGGCTAATACAAACAAAGTTAACTTGCACTTAAGCATTGAGGGCGCCGCAACAACAGCAGCAGCAACAACATCAAATTGGCGCGCCACAGCCGCCTCCCTGAAAATGCGTGTGGAGCAATCGTTAATGCTAATGGCGCGTCGGGTCCACCGCCGGCTGAGCATGAGGGGGCGCCTCGGTACCAGCAATGTCCTGTGCCTGATTTCCGTTGTTGCGCTGGCAGCGCTGCTGCCGCTGCCGCCGCTGGCGCTGGCTGACGACGGTGACAATTTCTTTGCCGTTAATAGCTTCAGCGTGGGACCCGAGACGACAACACCCGAGTTTGGTAAGTTAACGCCACTTATTTGGGTAAGAGGGGTGCGGGTGCTATGTTCCAGTCAGCACCTGCGGGGCCTTATCGTCCCACTCACAATTTCAATGCATGCAAATGCCTTGTGGCACACAGGGCGTAATCAAATAGCTACAACAATGTCGTCATCATGTTGCACATTTACCATTGTTGCATAATCAGCAGAGTCATGACTTTCAGCACAATAGCATGCACGTATATATGTATGCATGCATGCATGTAAGCATATACGCATGTATGTATGCATGTGGGCCTTTTTCAGCGGCCCAAATGGAGCCAGGTGCGTGCCGTGCTTTCTTACAGTTAATGCAAGCGCGTGAGTCAACAGCTTATAAGACACAAAAGAACCATTGAAAAAATAAATGTAGAGAAGATTCGAATATTTTGTACATAGAGTTCCTTAACTATGAATAGCTAATCGATAGATTCAAAAGCTGGCCTTGGAGATGATAATGGGACGGGAATCCCGTGAAAAAAAGCATTAAGAAAGTTTTAATTTCTTAACCGAAAATAGAAAATATAAATATATAATATTTAAATAAAATCTCCGCCTTTCCAACTCTAGTTCACTTTTTTGACGTATTTATTAGTACAGTCTGCAATTCAAAGATTAATATATGTATGTTATCTATATTAATATTATTATCGCGTGCAAACAGTTCCGACACGTTTCCATCCCTAAGCATAGATAGTTTTTAGCGCTGCGACCCGCTTGCGCAACGAGAATTTCTATTTTAATTTCAGTTTGATGAGCTGTTGCTGCGGCATATGCAAAAAGTTTACCCTGTGGCTGCTTTGAAAATATTGCAAAAAGCGAGAGCATTGTTGAAATAAGCAAAAGTTTCTAATTATAAATGCGGTTGGCTGAGGGGGCTGAGTCTAGAAGCAGACTTTTGTGTGCGCCTGTTAAATGGCTGACCATCAGCAAGACGACACCAGCAATCACTTACGATGCGGCGAGCGCGGGGCGCAGGTTAAGGTTTGATTTGTTGGTTGTGTGATAAATGAGCTAATGGAAAGTGCCCCAACGTACAGTTGGCATGTTTCGTAAAATCTCTGTTTGAAATGGGTATTAAAAGGTCACAGAAATGCTGTGTCTTGTGGCACATTCGCTTGGTTGCTGCAACGTTGCTTGCCACAAAATCGGATGCGATGCGGCAGCAGTTGCTTTTTTAGCTGCATATGCCTTGGCGCTATTCATAGTAGGCACTGCATTTATAAATAAACCGCTTGCACACATACACACACACACACACATACATGCATTTACCACACAAAAATGGCGCAACATTTTGCAAGCGCATCCATTTTGTTTTGTCTTTTGCGCTTCCGTTGGCTTAAATGCTAGGCCGGCGCACATCCTCTTCCGTTTTCCCGTCGTCAGCCACAGCCTCATCATCATCATCATCATCATCAACATAGGCCATGTACTTGGTAATTATGGCAGAGTATCAACAGAAATTAGTGGAACAAGCGGCGTGTCGCGCATATGGCATATGCGGCAACATTAACGCTGACGCTTAACCCCTGGTTGCCGTTCAGATTTTGCGCACATTGTTGGAGGCCAGTTCCGGCCGAAAGTTGCTCCCAAGTGCTTAATTAAGATGTGAGCACAACTCAACTCACTTTACATGCCGCTGACGTGCGAGTGTGTGTGTGTGTATGTGTGTGTGTCTGTGTGTTTTCATTTCATTCAAACTTAATGAAGAATACGCCCCTCATACTCATCCGGACAAGTGGCATGTGGCATGTGGCATGTAGCATGCACAGGCTGAAGTGCCTACACTTGAGCCGCACTTCGGCCCCTCGAGTGTGCGTAGCCAGCAACCAAAAACATTTCGGCGCGCGGCTTGTAAAGGTGCACACAGGTGTATATACACATAGATATTTATATGTACCTATACCTGTTCAGCTGACTGACAGTCGTTGGCCCAGAGATTTATACATGAATTTACATTTTAATCTGCCACTAAGCCGCTCGGGATTCAGATACTTTTCACTCTTCCGGCAGGCTGAAGCTTTGAAATTGTTTTTCCTTTCCTTCTATTTTTTTGTGGGTTTTTTGTTTGTTTAGCTTAAAAGTTTGTTGCGGTTTCATTACAAATTTGTCGCTTGGGATTAGTCGAAAAACATGTGCTAAGATTGGCGTTTTATCTATCTTATCTATATAAATTATATGCTATATTCACAGATTATGCCAGCCGCGGGCAGAAAAAGTTCGGCGACAAGTGCGACAATACATTGGAATGCGGCTTTCCCGGCTCCATATGCGATCCCAAGAAGAAGTACTGCCAGTGCACCGACGATCTGCAAATCACCAATCACATTGATAAATGTGGCAAGGGTAAGTGCAGCGAGGCTTGCTTTTGTCAGCCTGCCAAGTTTTCATTAAAACGAATCGCAGGGCCAGCAAAAAAAACCAAATACCCCAAAGCCTTACGTTGATTACCAACTTTGCTGTGAATTGAAAATTAGAACGGAAAAACTTGGCAGCAGGTTGCAATCGAATGTATCTAGGGAGCAGGGGGAGCTGGGCAAACTTAATGCATATTTGACATAATTATAATATATTTAGTATGCCCAGGCCACATAAAAAGCTGTAAATTAAAATCAATTTGTGCGATTATTGCTTCATTAATGATTGACATGTTTATGAGCAGAGCATTTAGGTTCTGGCCAATGAGTCATCGCGACCAACTAATGAAAGGCAATGAAATTACGGCCAAGTTGTGAAATCCCAACACAATTTGGGTACATTTCATAATTATCCATCATCTGAGTGCTAAAGCAGTTTATTCTAAAAAAGCGAAAATATTAAGAAGAAATCCTTGATAAAATTTTAGAATATGTCTCCTAAGCTAACATGTACAATCTTTAATCATCAGAATAGTAAAAAAAGATCTTTAATGAGTTTCATTTAATAAATATTTAAAATATTATGCTATTTAGCAGCTATTTAGTTGCGTACTTTTACAGTAAAAGTTTTAGAAACGTTTAGCCCAATAATATTTGCATCTCTTTCCCACAAATGCCAGCTATAAATACTGAAGCCCACCCAGTTATTATAAGCCCAAATTCTCAGACTATGCTTATGTATTTACACACATGCTAAAATTATTCAAATACAACGTTTTGAAGGGCACTATAAATAGCTAGACAGGTAGGTGGGGTGGGGGGGCGTGTTCCGGGCTGTGCGCTATAAAAATATTTGTCTGGCGGTCATCAAACTGACGCCAGTGAGGATTGACTCAGCCACAAGTTGAGTCCCACTGTTCCGTTCTGTGCACTCATAAAGCAAGCGTGTAAACAAGCTCCGGAACAATGAAACAGATATATATAATATACATATAGATAGTATCTATATGTAGCTACATGTGTGTGAATCATGGTCGCAAGGATTCACACTGTTTACTCCTTACTTGCAGCGGCTGCCATCAACGAGTCCTGTTTCTTCAACGAGCAGTGCGAAGCGATTTACTTTCAGACCGAATGCCGGGACGGACGTTGCATATGCCGCTTCGAGATGTCGCCCATTTGGGGCAAGGATGGGTCTGTCGAGTGCAAAGGTCGGTGTGCGCCATGTCGCCCAGAGCAGGTGGAGAATAATAGTCAATGTGTTTGTTTGTTTGCAGGACGCCAGGACAAGCGAGGCGAAAGCACCTACATTGATCCGGCCATGATTGGCGTACTGGTAGGAATGGCATTGATGTTTATTATTATTTGTGTCGTCCTGCGATTGTTTAGCCAGTGAGTAAATTGCAATGCAAACATTTATCACTTATCACTTATCACCCTAAGCCAAAACAAAATACGATGAGGCAAACGTTGCTGCCACACATGCCCATAAATTAATTGGGTCAATGGGCTGTGTCCTCGGCGGGGGATGGGGAGCAGCTTCATTAACTCAACTCAATTTGCTGGCTTGACGTTGCCCTGGCTGCGGGCCAAATGATACATAATTTGATCAGCAATTAATTTCACTTATATGAACAAAATTTTTGCATTAATTGGCATTAAACGCAGTCAACGCAGCATCGGTTCATATCAATCCGCCCAGGCTTTGGCCCAGGTCCTTGCCAGCTTTTTGGGCAGCTACTCATACGGCATCGTTTGCTTGTACTCTTGCAGGGCACGCTGGCACGAGAATCGCACCATATTCAATACACCGAATCCACGCCTGATGAACGTCTCCCTGTTGCGGGACAACAAGCTGCTCCATGGCCAGGATAGACGCGGCTCGCGCATGTCCGTGCGGGCGCCATCCCGGCAGCCGAGCATGGCCTCGCTGCGTCCGCACTCGCCGAATCCGTCGCTAGGTAAGACAGGTTTGTATCCCATATGTGTGGCTTCCATTTATTGATGGCACCTGTTTACTGTACTGTACCCAGTGCGCATTTTGGCTTTGGTTTCCTTATTTTCTTATTTGTTTGTGTATTTTGTTGTTTCAAAAATTTTGGTTGATTTATGCTAATATTTTGTTCAAGAACTTGCAGAACTTTCTGCACACAGCAAAAATAAATTCGAATCAATCAATTAATCAATCAATCAGTCAGCCAGTCACCAAAACAACTAACCAAACAAATCACAGCGGAAATCTATATTTACGAAAATCCGTAAATTCAAACAAAAAAATTCGTGTGAGTGTGCAAAAAGTCGAGCTGTTAGCAAAAACAAAATGTTATTTTTTTTCTACTATCTTAAGCCTATGACTTAAACACTTTTCGTGATTGACATTTGATAATAATTTATAAATAAAAAATAAATAAATTCAATGCATGTATTTATAGCCATTAAAAAAGTAATAAACATTGCGAAATCATCGACATAGCAATTATATATTAATTGAAATAGAGCTAGTTATTTTTGAGAGATGCGATACAAATATTTAGACAGGCGTTTTTTCAGGGAGAGCAGATAAGAAGAAGATGGCTCAAGAAATTTATTATAATCTAATATCCAAGGGACTTACTCAAATGATATTTATAAAGTTCTTTATAAGAAAAGTTCCATGCGACCAATACATTTTTAGATTTTGAGTATAACTAGATTTGCTGAAGGAATATTAAGAGAATTAATTTCATGGTTTTGTACAGCAGGTCTTAAGGATTTTATTATCTACCAAAATTGTGAGTGCTATTCTTTTCTTTAGGTTAGAAGCATCAGGATATCACGAGTGAGATTTGACCACACCATAACGCTGCATAATAGAAGAGCATAAGGGTTTCAGCCTACTTTTAATGCACGTAAACACTTATAAACAAGTAAGAGGTTCGGGAGCTCCCGACTAGGGGGCACCCTGAACCCTCTTCTTCCAACATCAAATGCATATATATATTCTATTTTAAATGCTATATGTCAAGTTTGGGGACTCTAGCTCTTATTATTTACCAAAATTGCCCAAAAAACAGGATATCGATTTTTATCGATTGCTTGGAAACGGAGTAAGTTATCGATTATCGGAAACAAACTCGATCTGCGCGGGCACTAGGAGCATTGCCATTTTGTCGATTTGGGTCAAAATTTTGGGTTTCCTTTTTTTGATGTCAATCGATAGAACTGATCCTTACGAGTCAAAAATGGTATAAATTTCCAAAATCTGACATTATTTGACGGAAATATTTCAAAAAATCATCAAAAGGATGGAATTTACGAACGAATCGGTTTTTTGCCAACAACATTTTTAAACCCATCGATGATTAATTTGTTTGAATGCCAATTGATGGTAGGGATCCGTACGCATTTAAAAAGGTATAACATTTTAAAATCAGACATTATATACCCGAGAAATTTAAAAAAAATCATCGAAAAAGTTTCGATTTTCGCACCGTCCTCGATTTTGAAAAATCTCCGCGCGGAGTTATGTCGTTTTGGAACGTCATATCTCCCCGCAGAGCTATTAACCGAGATATTAAAACAAACTTCAAAAAGATGGAATTTACGAACGAATCGGTTTTTTGTCAACAACATTTTTCAACCCATCGGAGTTTAATTTATTTGAATGCCAATTGATGGTGATTGATGATCCGTACACATTCAAAAAGGGATAACACTTAAAAATCAGACATTAATTACCCGAGATATTAAAAAAAATCGACCTCGATTTTGAAAAATCTCCGCGCGGAGTTATGTCGTTTTGGAACGTCATATCTCCCTGCAGAGCTATTAAGCAAGATATTAAAAAAATCATCAAAAAGATGGAATTTACGGTTTTTTATCAACAACTTTTTTAAACCCATCGATGTGTGATGCCAATTGATGGTAGGGATTCGTACGCATTCAAAAAGGAATAACATTTTAAAATAAGACATTATTTACCCAAGATATTAAAAACAAATCATCGAAAAAGTTTCGATTTTCGCACCGACCTCGATTTTGAAAAATCTCCGCGCGGAGTTATGTCGTTTTGGAACGTCACATCTCCCCGCAGAGCTATTAACCGAGATATTAAAAAAAACATCAAAAAGATGGAATTTACGAACGAATCGGTTTTTTACCAACAACATTTTCAACCCATCGATGTTTAATTTGTTTGAATGCCAATTGATGGTAGGGATCCGTACGCATTTAAAAAGGTATAACATTTTCAAATCAGACATTATATACCCGAGAAATTTAAAAAAAATCATCGAAAAAGTTTCGATTTTCGCACCGACCTCGATTTCGAAAAATCTCCGCGCGGAGTTATGTCGTTTTGGAACGTCATATCTCCCCGCAGAGCTATTATCCGAGATATTAAAATAATCATCAAAAAGATGGAATTTACGAACGAATCGGTTTTTTGTCAACAACATTTTTCAACCCATCGGAGTTTAATTTATTTGAATGCCAATTGATGGTGATTGATGATCCGTACACATTCAAAAAGGGATAACACTTAAAAATCAGACATTATTTACCCGAGATATTAAAAAAAATCGACCTCGATTTTGAAAAATCTCCGCGCGGAGTTATGTCGTTTTGGAACGTCATATCTCCCGCAGAGCTATTAACCAAGATATTAAAAAAATCATCAAAAAGATGGAATTTACGGTTTTTTATCAACAACATTTTTAAACCCATCGATGATTAATTTGTTTGAATGCCAATTGATGGTAGGGATCCGTACGCATTTAAAAAGGTTTAGCATTTTAAAATCAGACATTATTTACCCGAGATATTAAAAAAAAATCTTCGAAAAAGTTTCGATTTTCGCACCGACCTCGATTTCGAAAAATCTCCGCGCGGAGTTATGTCGTCTTGGAACGTCATATCTCCCTGCAGAGCTATTAACCGAGATATTAAAAAAAAACTTTAAAAAGATGGAATTTACGAACGAATCGGTTTTTTGTCAACAACATTTTTCAACCCATCGGAGTTTAATTTATTTGAATGCCAATTGATGGTGATTGATGATCCGTACACATTCAAAAAGGGATAACACTTAAAAATCAGACATTATTTACCCGAGATATTAAAAAAAATCGACCTCGATTTTGAAAAATCTCCGCGCGGAGTTATGTCGTTTTGGAACGTCATATCTCCCCGCAGAGCTATTAACCAAGATATTAAAAATATCATCAAAAAGGTGGAAATTACGGTTTTTTGTCAACAACATTTTTAAACCCATCGATGTTTAATTTGTTTGAATGCCAATTGATGGTAGGGATACGTACGCATTCAAAAGGGAATAACATTTTAAAATCAGACATTATTTACACGAGATATTAAAAAAACATTTCTTCGCGAAGATATATGTCGTTTTTAGAGCGCGGAGATATGTCGTTTTTAGAGCGTCGGAGTTATGTCGTTTTGAAACGACATATCTTCGCGCGGATATATGTCGTTTTTAGAGCGCGGAGATATGTCGCTTGAAACGACATATCTTCGCGCGGATATATGTCGTTTTTAGAGATCGGAGATATGTCGTTTTTAGAGCGGCGGAGTTATGTCGCTTCAAAACGACATAATCTCGCCATGATCATCGGCGGAGTTATGTCGTTTTGAAACGACATATCTTCGCGCGGATATATGTCGTTTTTAGAGCGCGGATATATGTCGTTTTTAGAGCGCGGAGATATGTCGTTTTTAGAGATAGGAGATATGTCGTTTTTAGAGCGGCGGAGTTATGTCGCTTTAAAACGACATAATCTCCATGATCAACGGCGGAGTTATGTCGTTTTGAAACGACATATCTTCGCGCGGATATATGTCGTTTTTAGAGCGCGGATACATGTCGTTTTTAGAGCGCGGATATATGTCGTTTTTAGAGATCGGAGATATGTCGTTTTTAGAGCGGCGGAGTTATGTCGCTTTAAAACGGCATAATCTCGCCATGATCAACGGCGGAGTTATGTCGTTTTGAAACGACATATCTTCGCGCGGATATATGTCGTTTTTAGAGCGCGGAGATATGTCGGTTTTAGAGCGGCGGAGTTATGTTGCTTCAAAACGACATAATCTCCATGATCAACGGCGGAGTTATGTCGTTTTGAAACGACATATCTTCGCGCGGATATATGTCGTTTTTAGAGCGCGGATACATGTCGTTTTTAGAGCGCGGATATAAGTCGTTTTTAGAGATCGGAGATATGTCGTTTTTAGAGCGGCGGAGTTATGTCGTTTCAAAACGACATAATCTCGCCATGATCAACGGCGGAGTTATGTCGTTTTCCAACGACATATCTTCGCGCGGATATATGTCGTTTTTAGAGCACGGAGATATGTCGTTTTTAGAGCGTCGGAGTTATGTCGTTTCAAAACGACATAATCTCGCCATGATCAACGGCGGAGTTATGTCGTTTTGAAACGACATATCTTCGCGCGGATATATGTCGTTTTTAGAGCGCGGAGATATGTCGCTTGAAACGACATATATTCGCGCGGATATATGTCGTTTTTAGAGATCGGAGATATGTCGGTTTTAGAGCGGCGGAGTTATGTCGCTTCAAAACGACATAATCTCGCCATGATCAACGGCGGAGTTATGTCGTTTTGAAACGACATTTGTTCGTGCGGATATATGTCGTTTTTAGAGCGCGGATACATGTCGTTTTTAGAGCGCGGATATATGTCGTTTTTAGAGATCGGAGATATGTCGTTTTTAGAGCGGCGGAGTTATGTCGTTTCAAAACGACATAATCTCGCCATGATCAACGGCGGAGTTATGTCGTTTTCCAACGACATATCTTCGCGCGGATATATGTCGTTTTTAGAGATCGGAGATATGACGTTTTTAGAGCGGCGGAGTTATGTCGCTTCAAAACGACATAATCTCGCCATGATCAACGGCGGAGTTATGTCGTTTTGAAACGACATATCTTCGCGCGGATATATGTCGTTTTTAGAG